CCCCCAGGCTGCTGCGTGAAGGAAGACGGTACCTGAGGAAAACTAGATTCCCCAAACTGCTGCATGAAGGATCCCCCAAACGGACTAATAAAAGATCGATTCCCAGATGGAACTGTATGTGAGGAGGAGAGTAATGTCGTAAATGGCTGTGAAGTGTCTATTGACATTAGATCCGCCTGAGTCTGTGGGCGAGAAGCATACATAGGCGAGGGAGGTACCTCGCGTACCCTAACTTTCGAACGCGGTTGGGTCTCTTTAGCCTTACCCTTGTCAATTCAGGGTAGCATTCTATCTATTTTGAAAGAGTTATCAATAAATAGATAATGCTTCATATGCAAGATACACAGGTAGATATTTCATAAATACATATTATACACTGTATAACTATACTTAACATATATACTTACTTGAATAAAAATATTCCTTCATATTTTAACCTAATATAAATAAAAATATTACTTAAATAAAAATACTTAACATTTTATAACATTATTTTAAAAATATTTTCTTACTATAAAAATATACACACAAATATTACAACTCTATTTTTAATAAATCTATAGAACATATTTTGAATATAAAATCTAGTTATACATTTTAACCTAATAAAAATAAACTTTATATTAATTATTTTCGAATTAATACTTTTTTTATTTGTTTTAAAATTTCGGTTTTTAAAAAGTTACTTTACAAATTAGTTTGTTTCAAATTATATTTTTTCTATTTGTTTTATAATTTCAGTTTTTAAAAAGTTATTTTACAAATAATGTTTGTTTTAAATTCTATTTTTTAAAATAAATTTTATTTTTTTTAATAAATCTACCCAACATATTAATATAACCTTTTCATATTAGTTATATACTTTTTTTACAGGTAATTTTTTCTGAAAAATACTTGTTAATAAAAATACTTCTATTTAATAATTGAGTTTAATAAAAATACTTTTTTTAAAAATTAATTTTACAATTCTGTTTAATAAAAATACTTTTTTAGAATCTATTTTTTCTAATTTTTTTTATAATTTCTATTTATAAACAACAAAAATATAACCTATAAAATTCTATTTTCTGTTTTTAAAATATATAAATTATAACTTATTATATATAACCTTTAAAATATTTTAAATATAAACTATAAATTCTATTTTTTTTTTAACTTTTAATAATTTGTTTTTTATAAATTCTGATTTTAAAATATATTAAATATAAAATATAACATATATTCTATTTTGAATAAAAATAACATATTTTAAAAATAAATAACTTATTTATTTCATTTTTACAAAACAACAATGACCAACAACAACGACCAATCACATCAAATAAATAACATTAATAATCTGAATAATTTTATATATTTCATATATAATATATATATTTTGTTTGTAGACAACAACAACCAAACAATCTCATACATAACTTCATTCATATAAGTTCGAAAAATAAATAATTAAAATTACAAAAATACCTGAATGAAGCAATAACAAAGTTCAAATCTTGAATTTTGTTTGATAAGCTCTTACAATCTTTCAAATATTTTTCGTTAAACAACAAAAATAAAAAATTTAAAATTAGAAAATATTAAAATAAAATTAAAAACAAAAATAAAAATAAAAACAAAAAATATATTAAATATAACCTATAAATTCTGTTTTTTTTAATTCTGTTTTTAAAATATAAAAAATAACTTATGAAATATAACCTATAAATTTCATATATAATCAATATATTCTATTTTTACACAACACCATCCAAACAACTTCCATATACAATTTTATTCATATACCCCAATGAAGCAACAACAAAGTTTGTATCTTGAATCTTGATGAGCTTCTCTTGAATCTTCCAAATATTTTTCTTTTAACAACAAACATTAAAAGTTTAAAATTAGAAAATATTAAAATAAAATGTAAAACGAAAATAAAAATAAAAAGAATAGAAAATAAGGAGGAAGAAATGAATCATACCTTTGATTGAAAATGAAAAGTTGGTGTTAAAATGGTATGATATGGAGGAAATGATGAGCTCCTCTTGAAGAGAGAAAGCATAAACGAAACTAAGAAGAAAAGAAGAACAATGAAATTAAATAGTAAGTTCTGGAGATTGAGGATAATATATAGTGAAGTTTGTGAAGTGGTTATCACGTGGGAAAGAAGCCACATGTTTCCCACGCTGGAACATATTCTAGGTAATAAATATTTTAATGTTACAGTCTCAACGATAATAAAATTGGGTAGACCAAAATAAATATATTGATGCTAGCGACGTGGGAATCACGTCGGAAATTTATCACAGGAAGTCCACATCGGAACACTTGTAATAAATAAGTCTCGGGTCAAACCAAAATAAATATATCTCAAGGTAATAAAATTTGTCAGGCCAAAATAAATTAATGAAAGATAGCGACATGAGAATCACGTCGGAACATACTCATGTGTATTCCACGTAGGAAAACCTGCAATAGTAAATGTCCTTGGTCAGACCTATCATTTCACAGACAGAGATGTTTCCTACTTTTTAAAAAAGAAATTTGAATTTTATTTTTCCCACGTGGATACCACACCACAAATGAAATTTTGAAAAACTTCAAACTTCCCCCCACGTGAAACCTAATAGTTTGATTTTTAAGTTTTAATTTTTGTGTTGCGACGTGGGATTCACGTCACAACTATTTTCATAAAAAAAAATCCTGCATCCACCATTTGCAAACCTGAATCTCATTTGTTTATTAATAAAATAATTTAGTGACGTGATATACACGTCGCAACCTCCATTATTTCCCATATGAATATCACGCCACTAAATCATGTAGGAAACTCCGTGTTTTCTTGTAGTGTGATAGCTAGTAACTGATAGTCTTGACAGACTCATATACCAGCGTAGTGCTACATCTTTGAACGCCTCCATTGTGAGTTTACATTTTAGGGAGTGAGAAGCCCCGACTATTGACTTCTGATTATTGATTGATATTATGTGTTTCTGAGGATCACTTTTTTCCATCGAATAATGGAAATGTGATGTTTTGAAATTTTTTGGGACTTGATCATCCCAAATCATTTCTGATAGAGGTTGAGGATCAATGAGTTCTTCCTTCTTACCCCTCCTTCGTGCTTTATGACTGTTGAAACATATGAACACTTTCTAATATAGATTAGTTATGCTAGCATAGGTTCTCCATAATTGCCAGGAGATGCACCATGTATGGGGGATTTTGATCTTCACTTCTACTAGGAGATGATCCATACATTACGTAGTCGTGATAAGATGTATGATTTTTGTGAGGCCTGGGAAAATTTTACCAAGGCCCCACGGTGGACGCCAAATGTTCTTGTTAAACAATATTTAGAGAAGTCTCCCTGAAGCTAGCCAGGAGATACCAAAATCGTCCTTGTAATTAGGAGGAATTAGTTGTTCTTTCCTTCCCCATTTGGGACGTCTCCTTTTATACTCGCTTCATCATCAATGGTCCCTTTAAGGACGACTCTTCATATCTTATGTTAAATCCATTCATAGTAATGTCCTTTGTCCTTCATAACTATCAAGTAACGCTTCTCCTATTAATTTTCGTAACTTCCATGCAATCATGAGATGTTTTGTAACCGTTATGTGTAACCGTTCATGTCGTCCTCTAGTATCTTTTAAGAGATCGGACCAACTTATTCCTTTGTCATAGTTATCTGAGTTTGACTTAGGCCTGTTATGTTTTGATAGTACCATTTTACCCTGACCGACTCTAATTTGCTTAGGATCATGTTTATTCGACTTGCTTACTCTTGTACTCAGCTTACAAAAGTTTGGAGCTAGGGAATTTCAGGATATACACACACTTACAAATCTTCTCATCCCTACATGAGCTAGCTCTCTACCTCACAACAAACCTTAAAGACTTTGGCATCCCTTAATCACCAGGAATTGTCACACATTTGTACTTTTAGCAAGTACAATGTACGTTACCTGAAATTCCATCTTCTTTTGCTCTTTTTTATGCCAAAAATAAAAAATATTACTTTGAAGTAAAAATCTTGAATGAGATTGAAAAGGAAATTTTTGTAGGGTTTATTAAAAAATAGTGTTATGATCATGATGAGAAGCATACATGCAAAGTGATAGCCATTTCATTTTTTCAATTAGATTTATGGAGATTGATTTTCAGAATACATCCGAAGATTAAATAAAAATATGTCTGAAATTTAATCTTCGCACGCATGAATGAAAATGTCACTTTAATAAAATAATTTAATATATATATATATTTGCTTGAATTTTGAAATTCGAACGATATTCATAACATTTTAAAATTTTCATAAAATATGTGACCAGTGTATAGAATGTAGTAAACAATATCCTATATACTTGACGGGTTGAGATAAAACTTTCACAAGTTAAGTTTCAACTTTTCTTTTTGCGATCGAGTTGTTTAAAATTTTTCTTTTTTAGATGCTAAAATAAAAAAGAGATATAAACAAAATCTAGAGGCAATGAGTTTTTTAAACAACAAAAAATTAAACAGAATTTCATTATATAAAAAAAATTACAATATTAAATAAATTGTTGAAGAATTCTCGTATAAATGAGAATCTTACAAATTAAATCAAATGAGTATTTTAATATGCATTGCTTTGACATTTGATTTGTTTATTAAGAAGGAGACAAAAAAAACCAAGTTCCGTGTATGATATTTTTTATATTAATATAGATAGGTAGCAGCCCACTAGAACAATGAAGTTTTGTTAAACAATTGAAAAGTCTCATCCTAATCACATGGACTCAACTAGAAGGAAACAACGCATGCAGATTCCAACTTATTCCGACACACCAGGACGGAGCAAAAGTAGTTGGAAAGAAAAATAAAATTGAGAAAAATGTGGAAAAAAAACTAGTGCCATGTATGTGGAAAACACATCCACGTGTCATAAACACAATAATTTTATAACTTTACTCGTTTATAAAATCTACCTTTAAGAACCCACTCTGTTACCAGTTCTCCACTCATCACATTCAATGGCATCCTTGAAAATGATTTCTTCTCTCAAACTTTCTCATTCAAATTCTGCATCTCCTCTTCAAGCTCCAAACCAACTAGTTTCTTCTGGTGTCTCTCGCTCCTTCCCAACTAAAAAGTTTAATATTCCAACCACCCGGCAATTTTCTGCAAGTTCCAAGAACACCACAACCGCTGCATTCTTCTCCAATAACCAAAAGGAACATCAACAATCTTCAAAACCAGGTGAGTCTCAGATCCATTTGCTAGGGTTTTTTTTTAATGATAAAGTTCAAAAACTATGCTGATTTGATTAGTTAATTTGTTGAGTTTTATAGGTAAAGTTCAAGAACTGTTTGTGTATGAGATGAACGAACGTGATCGAGGAAGTCCGGCATACCTGAAACTAAGTCAGAAATCAACGAACTCGCTAGGAGATTTAGTTCCGTTCAGCAACAAACTGTACTCGGGAAACTTGGAGAAAAGAATAGGCATAACTGCCGGCTTATGTATACTGATCCAGCATGTACCGGAGAAAAAGGGAGACCGATATGAAGCGATTTACAGCTTTTACTTTGGAGACTATGGTCACATATCAGTACAAGGAGCTTACCTCACATACCAAGACACATATCTGGCTGTAACAGGAGGATCTGGAATTTTTGAAGGTGTTCATGGAAAAGTTAAACTTCAACAGATTGTGTTCCCATTTAAGCTGTTTTACACATTTTACTTGAAGGGTATTCCTGATTTGCCTCATGAGTTACTTGGGAACCCTGTTGAACCATCGCCAAATGTTGAGCCTTCTCCTGCTGCTAAGGCCACTCAGCCTCATGCCTCTTTATCAAACTTCACCAACTGATAAGCTTTTTTTTTTAGCCCAAAATAAATTCCAGTTTAGATTTTAGTTTTGTCTTGTGGGTGATGTATTTTTAGATTAAGCAGCATAATAGAAATTCAACAAAAAGAGTTGTTGGATCTTTGATCTGGAGGCTCTGCATATTTTTTTTATAATTAAGATTGAACCGGTATTAAATGCTTTTTTATCTATCTTAAACCCGGTCTAGACCATACTTGTGCTTTAATATTCCATCTCGTGTGGATGAAATTATTCTTGCATTTTTTTTGTACTTGTTTAAAACACTATACCCTTCTTGAAATGCAAGATTTCTTATTATTTCGGTGGATTGGATCTATTAAAAGATTCTTACTCGGTTAGAGGGATGTGGTGGATACTCAGCATGCGGTTAATGAGGAGTCACCGTCAAGGGCTGTTGTGGAAAACAGCTGGGAGAAAAGGCAAATAGAAATTGTAAAAAGAAAGATGATTGCCGTATGAAATAATGTTAGGTCTATACATGGAAATATAACTTGTGGGTATTTAGACGGATGCTCATTAATATGTGTCCAAAATCACATTATAGTTTGTTTTCTTAGAATCACCTAATATTGAACATAGTATGGTTGATAGATACATTTGTATGGTATTTTGGTATATGTGAAAATGCATGTTTGAAATATTTCATGTATTTATTTATAATGTTTTTATTCCCTAAATTGATTTAATTAATAATTTAGTGACATTTTTAGAGATATATAGTTGAAAATGTCAAGAAATTTGATATTCTTCATTATCAAACAACACTATTTTTAAAATTCTTTAAAAAAATTTCTTTCGTTCTACATCATTCTTTTATTTCATCACGACAAATGGAGAAAAATAAGTAATTTAATTAAAGTTTATTCATTTCATCCATCATTCTTTGCATGAATCTGATGTTTAAGCTGAAAAAAAGAATGTTGAGTCCAAATATGCATCTCTAGACAAAGTTTGGTGTGGTCCAACGGATATGCATATCCAAATTGTCCTGATAATTTGAGTTTTAAATTATGTTTTTCTGTTATTTGTTCTATTAAATATGATGCACCTAAATATGTTTCGCAAAATTATTATGAGTGTGGATGTTAAATCGATTGAAGTGAAGCATGATGCTAAACTAAATGAAGTAAATGATGATGCTAAACTGGGTTCTCGACTAATTGTTGTCGAGGTAGATGTTCATGCACAATTTATGAATTCTTATGATTCTTGAAGAATATATACTACAATGGGTCTGTATGGAGGCCAAAAAATTTGGGTTTGACGCTCTAATCAGAAAGTCTGACAATGGTTCGGATAAAAGATAAGCATTTGTAACAATGAGATGCAAAAGAAGTGACACGTACCAACCACAAATTAGAAAGTTGAAACGAGATGACACATGATCGAGAAAATGCGAGTGTCCGTTTAAATTGTGTGGATAACGTATGATGGATGAAACATGGAAACTTAATATAATTTCTGGTATACATAATCATGCCTTGACTGAAAAGCTAGTTAGTCATCCTATTGTATTTTGACTTGTTCTAGAGGAGAATGAGCTTGTTTCAGACATGACATTAAACACGGTGACGCTAAAAAACATACTCGCATCTTTGAAACGAAAAAAAACTTCTAAATGTTTCAAATATCAAGCAAATATACGATGTTCGTGCTCGAAACAACAAGGTTGTAAGAGAAGCAATGCCTGAGATGCAACAACTGTTGAAGCTTTTGGAAGGTGACACATGTATTTTTAGGTACAAAGTTTGTGAGGATAAAGTCACAGTTCGAGATATATTTTAGAGTCATCCTGATTCCGTTAAGTTGTTCAACATTTTTCCCTATCCTCATAATTGATTCAACATACAAAATAAACAAGTATAGACTACCACTCCTAAAAATTGTTGATGTTACTTCTACGGAGATAATGTTTTTAGTCGGTTTTGCATTTTTGGACTCTAAAAAAAGATGACAATGTTACACAAGCTTTGGAAATGTACAAGATTATGTTGAAGGACCAAGAAAACATGTCACAAGTAATAGTTGTCGCGGTGAGAATTGGATGTCAAATTATTAATTAATTTGAATTTTAATTCGTTAGTTCACCACTGGTCTTTTATTTGTCCAAAGGAAGGAAAAAAGATCGAATTACCCATAATGCAATGCAAATGCAAATGCTAGAGAGTTTAGGTTCGGGGATTGGTTAAACTTAGGGAAGGTGCTAGCATCCTAAATTTCTGTAGTACTCTACAGGAACCTCTTGTTTTAAGTTGTTTATTGCTATGGGTTATCTGCTTAAAGGTGAAAGACCTAGTGGTTTAATTCTAAGTATACTCGCAAAGACGTCGCATCTTGTATCTACAATCCTGACGAGAATGGAATCAAAGTAATTGTAGTTCCCCTAAAGGGTTTGAGAAACTCATTGACTATTTGTCAAAGTTCCAAAGGGATAAGGTTGTTGATTGATTGATTCTAGGAGAAAAGACGAGTCGTCATCTTAAGAAAGAACACTCGACTTAACCACCACAACTTGTAGGAGATGGTATTTGTATCATCATGAGAGAAGGGATCAAACACTCAGAATTATCGACGAGTATGTCACTATCTCCCTCAAGCGGAAAAGATCTACATCACTCAATTTGTGTTATGGGGCAGGAGATTTATTTCTCGACTGTCAAGATGACTAACATCTTATTCTCTAATGTGGATAATAGTTGATTGAGTTGAATGATTTATCTATGTTGTAAAATAAAAAGGTCCTCCTTATGGGGTAGGATCTAAGCTTAAGCTAATCAACTTGAAAAGGATCAAGGATCAAGTGGGGGATTATGATGCAAGATGAGATGCAATACGCACAAGTGGTTAAGTCATGCATAGGTTCTTCCTTTGGATATTATGCGATGCGATAAAATAAATAACGGTAAAATAAACAACGAATAAATCCGCACAAACAGATATAAATGCATAAAAGATAAGCCAAGTGTGAGGCGTGAAATTAAATCAGTGCTCGAGGGATGGAGACGTGCGTGTCTTGATTATGTTTTATGCGAGGTTGATTTTTAAAATAAATAAAAAAAAAAGTCAAATTAGTTTTTAATAAAATTCTAGAATTAAGGATTAATTAGATTTAATAGAATCTAAATTATTAAAGAAAATTGGTTTTGGTTATAAATTAATTAAGTTTCCTAGATAGAAATAATTCTAAATAAATAATAATTATTAAATAGAAAGTTTTCTTATTAGATAAATATAGTTTTTAGTTATTGACAAAACAAATGCAAGTTATTTGAATTAAGAAATAGAGTTTTATTATTAAGAACAAAATTTATATTTATTTAATAAATGCTAAGTTGAATAAATAGTAAAGTGACTAGGATAAAATTAAATTGAATTATTAAATAAAATAGAAAAGAGTTAATTAAATAAAAAAAAAGATGAATTAAATAAATAAGCTATTAAAAAGAGAGAGTTAATTTTAATATAAAAATGTGCATTAGTTGTTTTAATTAAGAAAAGGCGGGTTTAAAAAGGGGTGATTAAATGCTAATTAATTAATTAGAGAAAAAGTGAATAATTAGTTGATTAAATGGTAGATTAGGGCTTAATGAGTAATTAGATTAATTAAGTTGGTATTAAATCAAGATTAAGTGGATTAAATGGTTTTAATGAGATTAATGGGGTTAGTTGAGAGGTTAGTGGGGAGAGTGATTGGACGCGGGCGTAGGGAGAGGTTTACTGTGGGTGAGCAGGTGTGGTCGTGGATTGAGGATCAAATGGGTGATGGGTGGTGATGATCGCGGGTTTATGGTAGTTACGCTGGGGTGTGTGCATGTGATTATATAACATACAAAATAATAAAGAAAACCCTAGAAAAATCTACCCCTAAATCCCTCAGGCCGCCGTTCCCCTTCTCTTCAATCTTCTGTCCTCAATGCTGGGGTAGTTGTCAGGTTTTATTCGGAAAAAAGTGAACATGATTCTCGATTGTTAAGACAATTCCGTTATCAAAAACTTTGCGTAAATGGAAAATCTCCTTCTTTTGAATTGCCATTAATTGCGTTGGGGTTCTTTCCTTTTTTAAAATGCTTTCCCTCTTCACCTTCTATTGATTACTGACTCTAAATTGGAAATTATTTGCAGGAATTCTGAGGGCGGCTATTCTGAAGTGTTTTGCGAACAAAAGTCGCGTTTGGCTACTTGGAGACTCTTCAACATTTCTTCTGACTTTGACAGGTACTATTAATTTTCGGCTATGCAATTAGTGAAATCGTATTTGGAAGTAGCTTGCTGCTTTAGAAGAGCAGGATGTATCCATGTTTATTGCCGACATTCTGACTCATTAGCTGTGACCTGACAAATCCCCTTCTATTTGGTTATGTTTGGACGTTGCAGGGTATTAATCACCATGGTTTTGAAACTGCAACTGCTCTTGAGATCGTCAAGCCATTGGTTGCGGTTGCTGCTTGTAAAGCCTGTGGCTGGGACCGAGCTAGCAGCTTCTTAGGAACAGAGTTTTGATGGCTTAAGAAACGAACTTGGCTTTTTTTCAAAACTGGATAAATTGGATGTAAATAAATCTTCGATCTTTTTGCGTTTTTATGTGAGGATTTAGGATTTAGATTGGTGCATATTGTAATGGTTCTTAATTGTTGGAAGTTTGTTAAGGGTCGTGTGAAGTTTGTATTGCACATGATCCATTTGTACATAGAAGAACTTGTAATCTTAGTGTTGTACTGTAATGGAAATTGGGTTGGCTTATTGCAAGTTTCAATGCAAATTTCTGGGTATTAAAATTCTGAATTTGATGTTTATTGTAGATCCTATCCCAAAAATATGGTAGCAGCCTTGTAGTTTGAAAGGCTAAGCTTTCCTTAATGTGTGAACTTCTAACTTTCCAACCTTAGTTTGAAAAAACTTGAATCTTTTTTATCGTGATAATGAATTGTTTTTCCACCTTGAGGAATCCTGAATGTAATGTCTTGAATATCTTAGAAATGGTG